AGATGTTCCAGCTTCAAAGTTAATGAACATTTTTTACTAAATGAAATAAAAGAATTAACTTGAAATTAATGATATTGCAAGGTATGAAAATCAAACTTGACATTGGAGGTGCCATTTATAATTTATAATGGAGGTTTATCTCTAAATATGAATACATGAAAATTAACAATATAACCCCTCCATGTATATTATCCATGTTACTCACGAACATTTTTTTATTTAGTATTTTAGGTTGTTGACAAATTAAAGGGTATTTTGAATTAAAAATAAGTTTAATAAGGTACTTAGAATTTTTTTAAGGTATTTTTTATATTAATAACTAAAATGTTGTCCCATGCTATTTTGTGGACATATCATTTTTTTCTAACATAAAAAAATGTTTAGATAATGGTTAGTATTTTTAAGGAAATAAAAAAAAACCAAAACATGACTCATTGACTTGATTAGATCTAGTAAGTATAGTTAATTCAATAATATGATAAAAAAAATAGGCAATGAAAATGAGTGGCTAATATTATAAAAATAATTTATTATAAAAAATGAGTGGCTAATATTATACTCGGAAGGAGAAAGAAAAAAGTTCATTGAAAACTCGTATTCACTTTGTTGTGGACACCTCTTCACAACTAGGAAAAGCTCACCAAAATGTTTTAAAGCCATATCAAAAGGCTACATAGTGACATCGGAAGAGACCTGCTAGAGTAATGACTCATAAAATAAACCAAACAAAATATCATAAAATGAAATTCAAGTTTATATTTAACTAATTAATCTAATTTAATTCAAAAACATTTTTTTAAAAAAAATAAATTTAACAAAGAATAATAAATAAAAAGACATGAGATAACCCAAATTATTTTCAAAATTAGTGGAAAATCGTATAGAAAGAAAGAAAAAAAATATAATGGAGCTTAATCTCCAATTAAATAAATGATAAAGGATAAAAAAAAAAGATTCATAAAAAAGAAGAAGAAGAAAAACAAGTGATTTACCTACACGTGGGTTAATCTCTCAAACTTGTAGCTCATAAAATCATATACTTAAGCTTAATCAATAAGCTTAATTCCTAACTAATTTAATATTGAAAGATAAAATCAGAAAAAAAATTAATTTAAATTTTTTATCAAAGTAAAAAATAGCAATAAAAAAATGATGATCAAGTTTTATAAGGTGAAAAAAAAAACTAAATGAGAATAAAATCGTACAAAAATTCAATTTAAAAAATTATCTCAAATTAAAAAGTAACAATAACAAGAATGAAGAAAAAATTTAACAGATGAAAAAACCGAAGGAGGATGGGATTCCAAAAAAAAAAATTAACTTTATTAATTATTTCAAATAAAATAAATAGTAATAAAAAAATAATGATCAAATATAAAAAAAAAATTAAATTTGTTTGAGAATTTAGAGAGTCAAATGTGAAAATCAAGAAGAAAAAAAGGTTGTCGTCGACATCCAACTAGAGGTCAGCAAGCTAAATACACCGTCTTAGAATGGAGGGTTCATCAAAACGATTCCAACGATATCAAGAGAGGCCATCTTTGGCCTTCAGAATATGTTGAATGTGTCACCAGAACACAATAAACATTGCAGACACATGCAATAGATGTGTCATTTAGTTTTTGTTTTTAAATAATATCTATATTTATAAAAAATTTAAATTTTTCCGTAATCAATTTGATTATAACTAAAAAAACTAGGATAAAAATACCAAAAAACTCTTAGGTGCCAATTAAAAAATATTGTTTTGAAAGGTAATTTAGTTATTTTATTATTTTTTAAAAAGTAAAAAATTTAAAAAATCCCCCTAAAACTAGTTAAATAAATTTTATTTTTTAAAATAATTTAATTACTTCATCATATTTTAAAAATATAAAAAAACTGAGTTCTCCCGCATTGACCTAATAATAACCGATAGATGTTGAAAGAAGATCCTGTTACTTCAAATAGTCAATTCATCGATCTTTTAGAAAGAATAAAATAGTCATTATATTGGTTTTCCTTCCCATATCTTTCGTTAAGATTTACCGGGGGAGTGTCTATAGAGTATAACAAGACTACTCATTGGAGGTCCACGTCCACGTCCACGTCCAAGAGAGTATAATAAGTGTTCATGTCGAAAGTATCTGTTGAATTTCTGTCCTTCCATCACATGGTGTTTGGGGATCCTTCGCACACACCAAGTTATGGAAGCATGATCTTCAGTCTTTTATGGTTCTACCAGGAAAGACCAGATCATGTAATGCTAATTACACAGCAACTTAAACAGCCTAGGAGACACCTCTTCACATTCCCCAACTACTTGGGGGAACTAAACTCGGTCTTTGGCAGATGTAACAAACAAGTGTCTTCGATTCTCATATGAGATCGAGGAAGATGTACCACTTCTGTTGAGGGTCTTGAAGCCTTTGCATTACAAAATGCTCCTCTAAATGGTCGTCGTCATTCCTAAATGTTAAAGAACAAGCTTGGTGACAGCTTTGGTGTGGTGGAAGTCAATGGTGTAGAATAATAAATCAAGAATCGATCAATCAATCAAGTTGAGCAACTTCCTTAACAGCTTCCAAATTCAAGCAATAAATTTGAATCTTACTAGAGGGTTGAAACTGTCTACAAATTACAACAACACTCCAACGAACAAACTTACAAAAGAATAATCAGAAAAAGGAATGACAATCAAATGCAAAAGCCTCTTGAATCCATACCCCCTTCTTAAGCTTTCTCTCGACTTCAGCAAGTATGCTAGTCTCTAGGCAAGCAATTGGACTACAACTATCCATCTGAACATTCTTGTTGTCTGAAAGGCGACTTCAAATAATAAAAATGCAAATTATAAAATAGGAGAAAATATTACCACCAATACCTCCTTTCTTCATCTATTCTGACTATGCGGAGCAGCATCCAACCTTTTTCACAGCTGATACATCATCTTTTCCAACATTAATATTCTGTCCCTTGGGCAAGGCTGCAGGGTCATCCCCAACATCAAGAGCCTACTACATGATAAATCTGAGTGAGCACCTCTGTGAATGCATTTTCAACATTCAAGGACTCCAGGGCAGAGGTCTCCATGAAAAAAGTGTTCTCTCTCTCAGCAAATGCAGTTGCATCCTCAGTAGTAACTGCACGCAAGTGACGCAAATCTGCCTTGTTTCCCACAAGCATAATCACGATGTTGGATTCGGTGTGATCACGAAGCTCCTTTAGCCATCTCTCCACCTTCTCAAAAGTGACATGTCGAATGGCATCATAGACAAGCAAGGCACCAACAGAGCCTCGATAATTTTAACTAGTAAGGTCCTGAAAGCAATACAGATTTGTCGAACTGGTATGTTTCCAACATAATCAGCATAAGGTCCTTCAATTTTTCGGCATGTAAATTTCTCGGCATATCCTGAATCTAAGTTCATCACATTGGCTCATTCCCATGTATACGCGATCACATAACAATGACATCACTACCAAAACCCGTAACTCTTCTTCCAATGAATCCCGGTGATTCATGAGCTTGATCGGAGAGTCTGGGAAGCCTAAGGATGGCTGCATGAGGTCGCCTTCAGTCGACTTGTTTCCATTTCGTCTTTTTTCCGGAGACATAATATATCTAGTAGTTACCGAACTGACAACGCAGTAGTAAATAGACTTAAACCCAAAGAAGACTATAAAAGACTTGCACTTGGTGGATTGATAGTCTAGGGGCTTTTGGTTTTCGGGGGTTTCACCAGCTCGTTAATGGTTTTTCCTCAGGAGTATATGGAAGGCTCACTGCAGATCATAAACCCAGCTGATAAAGCTTTACCGTGGCGGCTCTCATTTCAGTTTGTTGCAGAAAATACACATATTAACAAATTTATATCAGATGGTTATGAAGATAGATTATGGATAAACAATCACCATACAACTGCATGCAATATTTCATTTAGTTGAAAAAATAAAGACAAAAATATAAAATATAGATATATTTTTATAATAATTTTAAAATAAATTTTTATATTTTCAAAACAGAAAATATAAAAAAATATTCTCTTTATCCTTGTTGTTTCGTTCATTTCAAAATAATAATTAAACGCTATTTAAAATTTACTATGTAGATATGAAGAATCAAAAACTTTTACTTTTTTTATCCGTGTCGTGTTTTTTATTTATTTATTTGAAGACAATAATTAAATGTTATTTAAAATTTATGATTTTATGATAGTTTTGAAATGAATTTTTATATTTTTAAAAATATTTTCAAAACAGAAAATATAAAAAAACATACATATTTTTTTTTATCGTTTTTTTCATTTCAATACAATAATCAAACACTATTTAAGTTTACTATGTAGATATAAAGAATCAAAGAATTCTATTTTCTCTATTTTTTTTAATGTTTGTATCTTTCATTTCAAAATAATAATCAAATATTATTTAAAATTTAATACGTAGACATGAAAGATCAAAGAATTTCATAACAGAAAAAATGTCTAGAGATTACAAAAAATCACTCAAATTTATTTCTCATCCAAGTCTCAAATATACCCAATTCACTCGAGAGCTCACAATACAAAATACTTGAAACTCTTTACCTCTACAAAGCTTTTCCATATCCTTGATCGGTACTCACTTTACTCCCACTGCATCAATTGCCAAGAATGGTTGCACATGTAGACTACCAATGCCTCCCAATGACTCACAATTTCGCAACAAATCTTTGTCAACATTTTAATCCTTCCTCACCTGAGCCCTAGGCTTTGCATGCATGCTTGTGTATGATTTTCCAACGCTGGCATTTAGCATGGCAATGCAGGAGATTATGTCATGTAATCGTAGTGCAATAAAAACCTTTTTTATACGTCTCATATTAAAAGTGTAAGCATTTGTTGCATTCAGAGGAGAGATTACAAAGAAGACTAATAAAAGTACTTTTTTTTTTTAACAAATTACAGGCTAAAGTTTGAGATCTCTAGAAATGGAAGAATACTAATATTAATTTGAGCTACAGAGAGGTTGCCTAAGGGCACATGGTAGCTTTTGCCCATTTAAGGCGTGTGGATTGCTCGGCTGAGCTTGTGACCTTGATGAAGACGTCTTCCAATGTGGTATCAGAGACAGCCCCCAAGCATAAACAGGGAACCTGGCTCTTGCAACCTTAACTGCATGAAATACATCAGCAATGCTAACTTCATAGAATCAGACTCGATCACAAAGGTAGTCTGCCTCTTCCATTGAAAGTGCTGAAAACACCAAGTCAAGCATTGTGATGGGTATCAAAACTGCAAGGCCTAAAGGAAATTTAATTAATTTGAAACACTCATTGTTAGAGAGATCAGAGACAGTAGGAGTTGTACTGGTCAGAATATTTTCTTTCTCTTGCTCTGCACGCTTTACAACATTCCATAAAGTGCTTCGAGAAGCTGGATCTAATCCAGTACTGGGTTCATCCATATAAACAATCTGCAGAATTAATTTCCAAGAATATGACAAACAAGAATATTTCATGCAGGAAAGTACACGTTCTTAAGAGTTATAATGACATACTTTGTGATCTCCAATTAGTGATATGGCAACACCAAGCCTTCTCTTCGTACCTCCACTGTATTTCCCAGCATGTTTGTCAGCTACCACTGCATCAAATAGCTTGAGGCTCTTGAGAGATTCTTCCACTGCCTAGAGCAGCAGAATGGTAAAAAAGAGAAACTTATAGCTTATCCAATTAAGATGGTTCTAATTAGCTCAAGATAATCTATGACCTTTTGACAATTTTCCGACTGAAAACCCTTCAACAGTCACCTATTTCTTTAAGAAAGTAAATGATCTTTGACATGCTTAAAGCTAAAATGATAATGCCTACTCTTTTCATAGCAGAACCTTTTAGGTTCTTCAGTCTTCCATAAAATAGTAAGTGCTGTCTCCCTGTCAGAGCATCCCATAGCAGGCTGAAAATAACAAAAACAAATTAAACAACAAACGAAGTCAGCTTGATTTCAACTAAGGATGAAAATGTTAAACGTGTTGGTCTCTTGAAGAAATGAGAACCAAGAATCTTAGCTTACTCATGCTGAGGGCACACTCCTATTCAGGTATGTACTGAATCCATTTGAGTCTGCATGTCTAAGCCATCAACATATGCTGCCCCTGAGGTTGGCGTCGTGTGCCTGATCATCTGATCTACATGATAAAGTCAGAAATACTAGAGAAGCACAAGTATTACTTTAGAAATGACCATTTGTATACTGACCATACTAACCATTTGGACCAAGCATGCCTAAGCACTCTCCTCGAGGCATAGCAAGAGATAAACCTTTCACCGCCAGTTTTTCTGGATTTCCATCCCTTCATGGGTACCCCTTCCTCAGGTTGTCAGAGATGATTCCATGAGTAGTTGTTCTAGCAGTAACTCCTCTAACTTCTCACTCTACATTCAAAAGGGTGTCAACAGAAATAGAATTTACACATGCCTGACAGTGAATAATTGACACTGAAATATTTGAACTATAATTGACAGTGAATAAACCGGAGCAGGAAACGGTTACTCAAAATTAGATTTAAGGGAATGTAATTGCCTCCTGAATGACATCAGGTTTATCCATATCAACAAAAACTTTAGACCCCTTCTCGTGCAAACTAGGCTTCTGAAATGAAGATTGACAATGCTTCTTAAGAAATTTTTTCAATAAATATTCAGTATGTTTTCCACTTCCACGTCAAAAAACTTGATCCACATAATAAGCTATCAGAAGAAAGGTTATCATTTTCAAAGGAGGAAACCAACTGAAAAAAAAAAAATTAGTTCTTTAACACTAGACTTGTTGAAAAT